ACAACTATACAATAGGAAATAGGCATATTACATTTGTCCTCAGATTTACTATTCATAATTCACCAGGGGATATAACACCTCCCCTTTTTGAGAAATCCGGAGTTCATTTCCAGATTTTAAATTTCTCGAATTCCTCCTCCCCCACGAAAGACTGTTGGATCCTCATATAGCCAGGTTACTATCAATGTGACATTATATAGAACATGTTTGTCATATTTAACAGAGAAAACATTAGAACTGACTGGATCATGAGGATCGACGACAATTGATTTGAGGTCACCAGCTTTCGATTCTTGTGAAAACAGTTTGCTTGAATTTCTTCGGAACCTCATTGACAGATAATGAATCATAATCAGTGGATTCTTGATTATCATTTAATGCATCTGACATTTTTCTCTCATTTTTATGAGAGTTCAACAGGAACATATGAATCATCAAAATAATCTAAATCTGGCAGAACAATTACAGAATTTTGATCATTAGATTCATTAGAAACATTTTTCGTATCATGATTAGTTTCATTTCGCACCACTGTATTCAATATACTGCTCGGTTTGTTCCCCGTTTCTTCATGGGCGGGTACTGCAGCATTTTTATGGGCGCTTAATAAGATATTGTCTTTCTGTGAACTGGACGATTCATTGTTCGCACGTTGTTTCCGGGATCTGAGCCACGTATAGGGCATGCCTCTGAAACAGACAATACTGGACTACTGGGCTGATCATATGTGACTGCTAATGTTTTGCTTAAATTACTGCTTTTCATGGATTCATAGAGGCTTTCCTTTGCATATTCATTTGTTCTGCAATCGATTTCCAGTTCTGTACGCAATTTGGAAGTCAATGCGTCAACTTCCGTTGCACCCCCAAAGCATGGGTGATTCAGCAGCTTCGCATGTAACTTGTCAATGAAATCCAACTGACTCTTTTTAAAACGCTGCTCTTGTCTCTGGATTAGCAACTGAAATTGATCGGAAGTTAAAGCCATTTTTTACCCCGTCGCCAGTTGTTATAACGCATGAATTTGTAATATATATGAACGTGCGATTAGAGAGGAGTGGATTTATTGGTCGGACGCAAATGATACTTGAAATCGTACGAGCAGTCTTGGGTGCAATCCGGTCCTTCCTATCTGCCTAGACCAGCCGTTAAGTCCAGAACACAAATAACAGCCTCGGCAATATGAATCATTATTCACAAGCATACTGGGTTTATATACTAACCAAACAGACCAAATTATACCAAAAAACAGAAAGATAACATTTGTACAATAATTGGCCAATATGGCTATGGATAGGGGGAAAGTAATCAATAACAATAGTTTAAAGGTCAAAATAAAGGTTATGATAAGAGGAACACGAATACGATTAGGTCAGTTATTTAACAACTATACAATAGGAAATAGGCATATTACATTTGTCCTCAGATTTACTATTCATAATTCACCAGGGGATATAACACCTCCCCTTTTTGAGAAATCCGGAGTTCATTTCCAGATTTTAAATTTCTCGAATTCCTCCTCCCCCACGAAAGACTGTTGGATCCTCATATAGCCAGGTTACTATCAATGTGACATTATATAGAACATGTTTGTCATATTTAACAGAGAAAACATTAGAACTGACTGGATCATGAGGATCGACGACAATTGATTTGAGGTCACCAGCTTTCGATTCTTGTGAAAACAGTTTGCTTGAATTTCTTCGGAACCTCATTGACAGATAATGAATCATAATCAGTGGATTCTTGATTATCATTTAATGCATCTGACATTTTTCTCTCATTTTTATGAGAGTTCAACAGGAACATATGAATCATCAAAATAATCTAAATCTGGCAGAACAATTACAGAATTTTGATCATTAGATTCATTAGAAACATTTTTCGTATCATGATTAGTTTCATTTCGCACCACTGTATTCAATATACTGCTCGGTTTGTTCCCCGTTTCTTCATGGGCGGGTACTGCAGCATTTTTATGGGCGCTTAATAAGATATTGTCTTTCTGTGAACTGGACGATTCATTGTTCGCACGTTGTTTCCGGGATCTGAGCCACGTATAGGGCATGCCTCTGAAACAGACAATACTGGACTACTGGGCTGATCATATGTGACTGCTAATGTTTTGCTTAAATTACTGCTTTTCATGGATTCATAGAGGCTTTCCTTTGCATATTCATTTGTTCTGCAATCGATTTCCAGTTCTGTACGCAATTTGGAAGTCAATGCGTCAACTTCCGTTGCACCCCCAAAGCATGGGTGATTCAGCAGCTTCGCATGTAACTTGTCAATGAAATCCAACTGACTCTTTTTAAAACGCTGCTCTTGTCTCTGGATTAGCAACTGAAATTGATCGGAAGTTAAAGCCATTTTTTACCCCGTCGCCAGTTGTTATAACGCATGAATTTGTAATATATATGAACGTGCGATTAGAGAGGAGTGGATTTATTGGTCGGACGCAAATGATACTTGAAATCGTACGAGCAGTCTTGGGTGCAATCCGGTCCTTCCTATCTGCCTAGACCAGCCGTTAAGTCCAGAACACAAATAACAGCCTCGGCAATATGAATCATTATTCACAAGCATACTGGGTTTATATACTAACCAAACAGACCAAATTATACCAAAAAACAGAAAGATAACATTTGTACAATAATTGGCCAATATGGCTATGGATAGGGGGAAAGCAATCAATAACAATAGTTTAAAGGTCAAAATAAAGGTTATGATAAGAGGAACACGAATACGATTAGGTCAGTTATTTAACAACTATACAATAGGAAATAGGCATATTACATTTGTCCTCAGATTTACTATTCATAATTCATCAGGGGATATAACAAGGAACACTTGTTCAGAGAAAATTCATTTACGTACAACAGTACCAGTGGCTGTCTCAATGAACTGGGCTAAGAAATCTTCGTACGAGAGCGCGTATCAATTACTGATTTCTGGACACTGACTTAGCTTCTTTTGACAACGGTTAACTCCGAGGAAGAGGATATCTTAACAGAAACGCTGTAGCTGTACTGCAATGTGAAACAGAATTACCACCACTTTCGATTGTGTGAAACAGAGTTAAACCATCATATCGGAGGCCGAAAATACAAACTTATTGAAATCTATCCATGACTTTGTAGTGACCTACTTTGGTGACGAGAACGCGATTGGTATAATGGAAACAACTAATATTATAACTAAATGTATCAGTGGTTGTTTTACTATACTTGTTTGTTTAACTGTACCAAACGCACTTTTCTTCCCGTTACCTGTGACCTTTCACGAACTTGCTTACTCTCGGCAGTTCCGCCCGTAAACTTTGGCACGTCTCAGTATTTTTTCGATACCACGAGATCGCCAACAAAAATATCTTATTGCGACCATTAACATCCTTCTGGTTTTTGGTCTACCGAGAGATCCACGTCGATACCTGGCACGTAATCTTCATGTAGTGGTGATCATAGTCAATCGCAAGTCGACACCCATCTACAACCTTCTGACAGCAAACTATAAATTCGAAAATAAACTTAGTCTTACAGAAATTACGAACTAACCTTTTAAACCTGTTCCTCAAGAAACGTAAGTGAAACAAATGGATGTTACAGTATATATGATATTTTGCGAAACGGTATAACCAATAGAATTAAGTATGTTACGTTGCGCTATCGTACTTAAAGAGTCAAAATGACGCGAAGGTTTTAATAGTCACAATGTTAACTGTTATTGTTAGAATTCAGAAAGTTCATAATATCGTTCAATCTGGTCAAATTCAGTAAAATCCTTTTCCGATGAAACAATGTGGATCTCTTAGAACAAAAACAGAGACATGAAACAAATAAAGCTGGAAGTTTGAGGGTAAAACTCGGCGGGTTTCATGTTCACCAGCTGTGACTGTTGAAAACCGTGTAGAAACACACAAGGAAATGTTTTCATGGTTTGCAACTTATTGAAAGACAATTAAACTTGATGATCCAATCATCCTCTAAAAAAAAGGTTAACCAGAGAATGTATATAGGATCCATCAGCATTGTTTCATGAGTTTTTGGACTAACCTCAGATTTGAAACTGCCTCTAACATAAAAATATAAGACGAAGAAATCAGTTATCACATGACAACTACTATCTCGTACTTTTAGACATTCGCTGTCAATGCACTTTGAATAACTGTAATTTTATTAGAAATCATTCCTCCTAACATTTGAATACACAAAAGATCAAGTCTCCGATAAAATTTTTGATTTCATTGCTTTATAATAGACTGGCAGACAGCATTAACTGTTAGTTAATGGTGTCCTAGAGGACGCCACTGTAGCACCTTGACCAGTATTTTGTGATTTTCTATTCACGATTGATCGATTGTTTGTGAGAGACTTATTAGAAGTACGGTATTAGCATCGTCTGAATGTATCGAAGTCAACCACGTATAAATTCATAGTTCTCTATATTTTGAGGAAAGTATTAATACACAGTTCAGTTTCTAATCATCTAATTACTTAGCAGCATATATGATCAGCTTCTCTTGATCAAAGTATAAAATGAATAGATATACATCTGAATGCTAAATAAAAAAGTTTATTTCAATAATTAGGGAGTTTACATCATATTAAAAGTACAAGTTATATTGGAATAAGGTTAAGCAATCATGCTGATAGTATTCATAGACTAGAGGCTACTTTTAACTGAAATTTTTGGGTAATATAATTATCTGTATAGAAAGAAAACTTTTAAAAGCAGAAGTAAGTATTTATGTTTAATTTAAAAGAACACAGTTATCCTTTCATAACTGATTAACTGATATAAGAATATCTTGAAAGCCCTATTGTTAAAGCCAATAAAAGAATATATTTATCACAAGAAGTTTCGTTCACTGATTTACAGATAACCAATGATTTACATCTATCTATTTAATTACTGGCAGTATATCTAAGTAGTGTTTATTCTTGGTTTTGTTGAATGAAAACTTACTAGTTACATTGTACATATACGTTTATATTTTTTAATTTAAAATGAACTAAATTTTATGCTTTCTCGTATACCCATACATTGTACTTCGTCAATAAACAAAGTTGCAGCCTTAATTTGAATTTCTTCCTCCAAATCCAACTGACGACGACATAAAGCTTTCAAGGAGTCATGTGCTGCATGTAACCTTTGTCTAAGTTGTTCAACATCGCGTTTAATTTCTTCTACTTCTTGAATTAGTCTAGTAAAGCAAAGATATTACAAAAAGGAAGAAATGAATTTGTGGTAAATTTATTAAACTTTGTTCAAGTAATCACTTCAATGAAAATTTTAAAAGTTGATACTAGATGGGATCAGTGAACAAAGAGAAAGTTTATATTACCTTCTTTATAAAGAATGGGCCTAATTTAAATTCACACTAAAGAATGTTTAAATAAATGTAATGGTCACATAATACTACCCTCAGAATTAAAAATGTGAGAAACATATTTACGGATTACTTTGCCTTCTCAGTATATACAAAGTGTATCCGTATATTTTCACTTGGGAGTTGGATGTTTCTTGTGATAGCGAGCTGTGATTGGACACCAACTGAAGACAAGCAGGAATTTGTAAGTTAACTACAAAACAGTTTACCATTACTTGAAGACTGATTTCTACTTTGGATTTACTAGACATGAACTGCTTGTGGCTTATAATCTGATTGTATATTTTTGGAATAACGTTGTCTAGTCTATATCTAATGGATAGATTAATAGAATTATCGTGTTATCTCGTGGACACGAAAAACTTATATTTTTCAGTTACAACACGGCTCCTTCAAAGGCTTCGATTTAAACAGCATCAACTCTCAACCATTGATCTTAGATTATTTGATAGGTAGAAAAATATCCAACTCACAGTACCGTGCCTAAAAATGTCATTATCATACGGTTAAGCTTGAAAGTATTTCGCGTGCTAATTTATTGATAAAATCTTTACCCTTTACACTAATGCGTTTTATGATTAGTGTATATGTGTGTATTAATCTACAATAACTCAGAAAATCATAGATATAATTGAAGATACTAATGGAAATTTAAATTCACTTTTGAGATTCTATATCCTTACCGATAATTTGCTGGGTCTCGGCATAATTCAACATTTGGTCTTTCTTTACGTATACCTAAACGAGTTCCAGCTAGACGTAGAGCACCATCTTTTTCTTTGATAGCCTTTTCTAATTCATGGAGTGTATCTTCCATATTTGAAATTTCTTTGATAATCTTAAAGTAAATAGATGGAGAAAATCTATTTCAATCAAAAAAATAATTTACTAACTTGTGTAAATTATATATATATATATATCCGAAGAGGAAATTAGGAAAAGACGTTGGAATTGGATAGAACAGGATAGGAAATCACCAAACTGCATCACGAGGCAAGCCCTAACTTGGAATCCGGAAGGGAAGCGGAAAAGAGGAAGGCCAAAGAACACATTACGCTGGGAAATAACTGTATATTAGCTAGTTGATCGGATAAATTGTACAATGAAACTGTGTTATCGAATAGTTAAATGGATCAGAGAGGCTATAAAGTAAGTAGCATTGTTTCATTATATTGTAGTATCGGTTTATATTTTAAGCCCATATACTTTATTCTAGTTTCTGGCCAAGCCAATTCGCCTGTCCATTATGAGTCATATTTTGATCTTCTTAAGTATCCGCTTATTAACCTTGACTACCTTTTTTTTAAAAGCGGCAACTACATTTTTATTGATGAATGACGCAGACCAAGTTATAAGCACATGAGCAAATGTTAGCGAGCGAAGCATACATGACGCGTATTGGAGATGGTGGGGAAGCCAACTCTTTTTAAGCAAGCATTAATCAATATTTATAGTCAGTAAAAGGAAGTACTACGCAAATGATGTTGATTTGAAACTATATCAAATAACTTAAACCCATAACGTTAGTTTGTGAGTCAGAACTTTAACTCATTTGGTTTAATTCGATTTAAAGATTTGTAATGTCAATTATCTTAGTACAGAAACTGAGGTACTTAAATATACAAGGCTTGGAAACTCCGTACTTTAGTGTAATCATCCTGCTTATTTGATTTTTTTTCAACCGAATAATGAGAAGCTATGATTTACACTAAATGCATATGCTGATTGATTATATATGGCCATAAAAATAAAAGCTTGACATAGAAAATGCAAAGTAAATGTGTAGTTTAGGTCGTCAACATATAAATTAAGCTTTATCTTAACACAAAATTCAGGCTCACCATATTTAAAATAATATCTGAATATCGTTAGTGTTATCGACTTTTCAGCTAATTAGCATTGATCTATTTTCAAAATTTAGAAAGGGATCTTGATAAAATAGACCGTGGTGTAAAAGTTATATTTTCTAATGTTTACTCTAAATACCCGTTTCTCTTACGTCATTTATTTGAATTTGGGAAAGCAGTTGCTGTAAACTGTTAGCTGGTGATTACTTGAACTAAAGGGAATTAACAACTTACTGCACTCAAATGTTCTTCTAATTTAGCTTTAGAGCTTCGGGTTTCTGAAATTCTTTTGTTCAAAGCACGATTAGTTGCTTCAATTTGACGTTTTATGTCAGATGCAACTTGTTGTATAATTCCATCAACAATGCTTCTTAATTCATGTGAATTTTGCAATTGTTTATCCCCATTTTCTATTGAGGCAGTTGAAAATGTTTGCCATTCTTCTGGAGTAAAGGAACTGAAAGATGTATTCAGAAGGCATGTTTAAACTATTCATGAATTATAGATAAGTTTAAAAAATGGATGTTAGAAAAGACCATTTGGAAAAGTTGAATACTGAAGTAACGCGATAAATTAATGATAGAATGGATTAATAAAAATTGTATGCTAAATTTACTGAACGTCTATACTTGAGAGTACTATTGCCATCAAATCAAGTGATTGATAGGATTATTATTAGGCGCTGCATTTAGATGTGGAAACAATCTAGTTAGGGTTACTCTAATTGGCGATAGAAGAGTCAATATAAAGTGAATCAAAAGCAGTCACAATACGCAACACATGGATTCACTGTTTGTCTTTCTCTAAATATTAAGTTTTGAAATCATTTTATGTTTTGAATCCGTTAATTTCATCCATTTCTCCTCCAATAGATTTTTTAAGTTTAGTTTTTATTACCACACGTACTACTGCTGTTTTGACAGTTCTTTTTTTCTATATCTTAGTAATTTTCCATCACTTTGTTAACGCATTGTGATGCATACCTATGCCAGGTTAAAAAATTTTGATAATATATTGAATAATTTTTGTTGTCTGTTAAAATGATATTCACGGGAGATTTTCATTTTCAGAAAAATAGATGGCGGGACTATCTACATACTTCAAAAATAAATTGTTTATTTGTTCAACCAGATTCAAAGTGTTTTGTTAAATTTATTTAGCGTCCCATTGTTCCAAACACTCCATGATCATAAAAAGCCAGAAAAGTCAAGTATTTCATTTTAGTTTCCCTTGTGTAATAATCATCAACGAACAATCACCAACCAGTTAAATTCACTTATTATTATTAATTTGTAAACTTACTTTGGCTCAACTTTTGGAACATTAGTAGATCCAGATAGTAATTCATCAGTTGGCTTTAAACTAAGAGCATATTCATCAAGATGTTGTGCTTGTAGTTTATCAGAAGAGTCCTTTTTCATATTGTAAATTGCTTTACGATTTAATCTACAATTTAAAAGGCAGTGAGTTAACGATGACTAGAATTAATTTTAAGGAATGAAAAATCTATGTTGATATTTATTACTCTTTAGTGGTAAACATTTAATTATTGTATAGTTGAAATCATTAGTCAATTGAAGCTAGACCACCATGGAAAACCTAGAAGCACTGGACGGCCGTTTCGTCCTATTGTGGGACTCCTCAGCAGTGCTCATCCACGAGAGACTTCACGAGACTGGTAGATCCTGGGTTCGGATCTCGCGAGTACGGGATCGTGGATGCGCACTGCTGAGGAGTCCCACAATGGGACGAAACGGCCGTCCAGTGCTTCCAGGTTTTCCTTGGTGGTCTAGCTTCAATTGACTCACGCTTTTAACTATGAAAATACTAAATCTCCATAAAACCCCTTCTGATCTAAAATGTTAATTTGGTTATTTATTCTCTGAAGAAGTGACTCACACTGAGTCACGAAACGTCAGAAAATCTAATTTTTCTACTTATTGGTATATGACAAATATATTATTTGTTTATAACAATCTACCCAATGCTCAACTTATTCAAAATTACTTTGTTACATTTTAGACGCATAAAAGTAATGAATATTAAAAAAAATTAGACATGTTAGCTAAGTGTTGTCTTATTTAAATCGATTTTCCATTGAATTAATGTATAAATAACGAAATTGTGGAATATTTGATGAATTTTCAAAGAAAAACATTTAGTATAAATGAAAATATCTGTTTGGGGAAACAGAACAGAATGTCAAAGCGGAAAACCATTAGAACTCTTTGAAGATATTGTCCTGAGGATCATATGTAGTATGATTTGATTCATTGGAGACTTGTTTTTGGATTCAAGTGATATAAACTGTTAAATCATTTTATTTTAATGTTCGTAAAGTTCATTACTGTCCTATAACCTACTCCAGCAATACAAACAAATTCGACTGAAACTTGAGACTCAGCGACTACAAGTCAAGTGTTAACAACATTAAACCACAAATTCATATATGGAATATTGTTAGTATTTACGAAAGATATTATTACTAGAAAACAATACTACAAATTTATGGCCATTAGGAAAAGTCACTTAAGTATTGAAATGATTAAAACAATCATAAGATATGGATGTGGTCGATCGATATATCGTGAGTGCTTATTGTCATGTTGATCAATTAAGATAGTATATAAGTTTCGGTACACGTAGTTAAACAGTCTATAATATTTCTTATAATTAAAAGTAGAATATTCACGTTGTTATTTACCTTGCTGTTAATTTCACATGGTATATGCATCAAATGATAAATATTTTGTACATGACTGCACACTTTACCCGTAATTCTAATACAATACAAGAGTTATTTCATCATCAAGTGATGATAAATTCGTAGCTACTATAACAGGTTTTGTATAGATCTCGTAACCTCTATGGTATATTTATTCCATTACAACATTCATCTATGAATAAAAGTTAACGCTAAAACTATATCGCATACTCATTTTATAATATCTATAATAAAGTCACAAACATATAAACAAAAGTTAATAAATAAATTAATTATCCTAATGGAAAAGTACAACTAATCTAATAATCCCTCATCATGTTCATATGATTTACTTTGCCAGTAGTTTACTTATGGTTAAATGAATATAGAATACCAGGTCGAGAAATAAGTTTTTCGTAATCCTAATTCATATGATCAAAAAGATACATCAAAAGAAAAGATTTATTAATCGAAAATTAAGGACTTTTAGAAGCATACGTAGTTTTAGGTTTATATATCATATGATGTTTACTAATAGATAATTTTATATGATCATCTTGAAATAATATCGTTGCCATAATGTGAAAAAGCAAACATACAATTATAGAGTGCTCATTTACGATAACGTAAGTGATAGTTATCAAGAGTTTACTTCATATTTATTTAAGTTATTGTTTTGACAAAAAATGACTTTGTAGAGTAGTTTAAAATCAATTGACCTGATTTCATTATTAAATGTTTCCACCAAATAACAGTTGAATTATAGATAATAATTCGTTTTAGTTCCAAAATCTTTAAGTTATTACAACTAAGTAATATTTGAATTCGACTGTGTACTTCCAAAATTTAAAGTTATTATACCAATGACAAATTGTGAAATCAAACTATGGCGGTTTGGTTAGTATCTACTTTTGTTTCTGAATTAACCGATTACGTCATGGAAACTAACATTATCCAACGCTTCGCAGTCTTATTTGAACAAAAAATGGTGTTACTCTCCTACTTATTATTCTCTTGTGATAATGGACACTGTTAGTCTCGAAAGCTACACATAATATTGATCATGGTGAATCACGTTACAAACGGATTGTAGAATTATGTTCAAAAGCGATCAAAAAGTTTTTTTCTTTTAGATTTTATCCAGCAGAATACATCAGTTACTGCAATATCTACCATAATTTTAACAGAATAATCTATAACTAATTACATCTATTATAAATTTAAAAAAACTTATGTGCAACTCAATAACAAAGTGTAAGTTTTTATAATCCGTTTAAATTCATATTTTCATGCGAGTTTTAGTGATACTTCCCAACTAACTTAATAGGGGTATAGTTTAAGCTTGTAACTGCCAACTAATAAAAAATAAGTTGAGCCGTAAGGTTTACCGATGTCTCACATATATTACATAGTTTTTACTAGATATGTTATTTAAGGAAAACCATTCGTGTTGTATTGTGAATATGATTAGGTGATGTTTTGTTTGAGTACGAAAAAACCATCCAATCGAAGTGAATTCGTGTAGCTTGAAGTCGTCAGTTTAAGAGGTATAAATGTCTGGAAGTAATATGGATGAGTTCCTTAGAAACCTAACAGATGCGATACAGGAATATGAACTAAGTGACTTTTACACTATTTTATATTTATAACAACTCTACTTATAAGCGTTAGAAACAAGATACTTAGTCAATGTAAAAGTTCCGTGTTTACCAAGTATTGAATCTCCTTCTTTACGCTGATGATAAATTTAGCAACTTGAACAAACTTGGGGCTGTGGAAATTGATTTTATTGGCGAGTAGTAGAGTGATAGCATTTTTCGTACCAAAAATTCAAGTGTTTAAGAAACATTCAAACTATAACTAATTAAGTACATTGAATAGTAGATTAGTTTGCATTTTTAACGATAGATACTAGTCAAATTTGATAAATTAGTTGTTAGAAGACTCACTTACTCTACACTTACTTACCACGACTGGTAACAACTCTATTTCTAGTGTATGTAATTCAGTGGCGAAAATTTAAATATGGGTCGACTATCTCAAGGGGCAGGATATAACTTAGTCGCTAATATAAGTTCGTTCCAAGATATTTTTAACTATTCACTACACCTGCAGTTTCCCAATAACTTGAGTGAATGCACCTATACATTTCACTGTAAATAGTTAAAAGATTATTTTGGTCTCTACATTTATTCCATCAGTTACGTGCAATATAAACTTTTATGACATATAAGGAATTAAGTTGAATTATTTAGATTGTCTTATGTTGGAAGCCTGATAGTTAACAGATTAAGCGATTGCTTAGAAGACTGAAAAAAGTATATATATATATAACTATGTATTATGAGAAAGTAACTAAACGTGAAAGACGTAAACCCATAGACCAACGAACGTTTAGTGCACTTTCGGCTTTTGCTGTAATATTTCAGTCATAGAACTAATCTCAAGACATTCCACTGTTACACAGACAGTGACAAAAGCATGAATTTCATGCCACTCTAAATGTAGAAAGTTTGACAGCAGTAGATATGACTGGGTCTATTTTGAATTTCGACAAGGAGACAGGCTGTTTATTTTTATCAGTGAATAAAGCAGCAACATGAATTCTTGGAACTGATAGACAAGGAAGCGTGATAGTCCTACTGATTAATGAGTCGGAATTCTTCAACCGAACAAATAGATTTTAGCGAGCTACTATACTTTCAATACGGCAAACATTGAAAATGCCAGAGAGTAAGAATGTTACATCTCAGTCAGACAATGCACTAGCACTTAGAGATTATCTGAACACCCAAGAAATGGAAGTAAACCTTCTTCGACAAGAGAAAGCAAAGCCCAGCTACAATACTTTGATTTGTGTTTAAAGTCTGAAAACGTTATTTTAGAAATAGTATATTGGGCTAACTTAAGGTACACATGTTGCTTTACACCAGAGACGTTTAAAGGTACGGGGCACTTTAAGCCCTTAGTTTCCTGATGACCAGCATAAGCTTGATGATGGACAAATAATAAAAGAAGAGTTCTGTAACATGTCGAAAAGCACCATCAGTTTTACTTTATCTGACAATGTATAAATAATTCTAGAAAAGGGGCTAACAAACCCACCTCTATTTGAGTTCGAAAAGTGGTTGGACAAAAAAGAAATTCGCACTGCTAAAAAACTCACTACAAATAACGAGTTCCACGGGTCTCACCATTTTTTAAAGGACCTATACAAAGTAAATAACTGGACTGCCATTAGACTGCCGTAACCCAATACTTGTAAATTCAGGATACTTATAATTAAGCATGGTAAAATACGCCGTTACAAAACTATTGAATATAAATGTCACTATAGATGATTCTAGTGTCACACCATCCACCATAGAAAAGGACATGAGCATTAACGCTTTATGATGCGCTTCATATCCATATCGGTTTTCATTAGACAGGTAGCGAAAACTGTAGATAACATACTGGATCAACCAAAAATCCAGAGGTTTCATGAGAAAGAACTGGATCTTGTCTTTCATTAGTAAATGAATTAAGAAATATTTGAATCATGCGGAAGAAAATATGAGAATAATATATACGTACATTACATATATATATATATATATATATATATATATATATATATATATATATATATATATATATATATATATATATATATATATATATACAATGTATACATAATATATCTATTTCAAAACTTGCCTCAGTTGTTCTTTAGCTTGCTCAACAGTTCTCTGTAAGATTGTTTGAGCTCGTTTTATTACTTCTATCTCTTTTATGAGCTCCATTTGTGCGTCATCGTGTACGAGATCAATACCTGTTCTTCCCTCACTGAGAAACGGTAGAAACAATAAACTTTTACTAAACCTACCGACTGAGTAAACACTGTTGAGCAAAGTGGAGAGGTTCTTCGGTTGCTTCGAGTGTTTTCCTCAATCGGATAAAATACTCATCCAATATTTCAGTTTCGTCTGTAATATCCTGCAGTTTCTTGTTGACTTCTGATTCCCAGTACTTAACGTTGGCAATTCTTTGATCTGATATATGTAACGTTTTATAAAACAACGACCTACCAAACTTTTTCTCCACATCTTTTAGGGTTTTTTCAGTGCGTTTGGCTGTTTCCTCAATCAGTCTATCACACTCATTTTGTAGCCCTTGTGATATTTCACGTTCCTTTTCCGCGCTACGGTACTTCAAATTGTTGCTATACGTCCATTCTTCATGTGTAAATCGTTGAGGTTGCCGCACCAACCCCGCCATTATGAGCTATTTGCAATCTAGTAACCAAACGGTTTGAAATTTTGCGCTTCATGTCGTCATAACAATAGTTTTACAAATTCAATATAGCGAACAAAACACCAATAAATCTTTATAATAATAAGAATCCTTTTAAAAAGTGCGCAAAGTATGATATCTTTGCTTTTGTTACACAAGGGGTGAGCGGCGCTCACTTAAATATCAGACAGAACATGAAGGAAGAGGACGAACTTAACCTCACTGTGATTCAAACGTACGACAAGTACTGCACACAAATTCTGGACAAGTCTCCAAGTGCTCATGTGTATTCATTTCAGAGTGATAAGAATGCATGGGTAAGTCCTTAGTTGTATCAACCCTTATTAGTGCAATATTGCATTCTTGCTTTCATCTTTATGTTTATCTTGTAGTTATAATCACAATTCTGAACCTTTGACTCAATCAACTGACACTTAAATCATTGAGGAACCCCTCTTGACAGAAAATGGATATTTTCCCCGGATACCTGAAGCAAGGATTTATACATTTTTGTTTCAATCCATTCAGCCGCTCCATTGTCATGATGGTGAAGACGTAAATGTCTGTTAATTCCCAGAAACTCGAGTTACACCTGCACTGTACACCAAAAATTCCTGATTTATTGCATTTTACTGGTTGTGGCTTGTTTCAAATCCATGAGTAGCGATTTCACTGCAGTTTGGTGTGATTGGACTGCACTTAAATAATAGTTAGTTAACCTATAATATTCTGACCACGTTCCTCTGACGTGGTAAGATACATTACCATATGAATAAAGCTGAATCCTGACCTGCCTTTTGTGTATTCAGTACATACCTTTAATATCTATATAACTATCACCACTCCCGAGTAATCGGCAAATAGTTGACTCTGAAGTTTTATATAAACGATATTTACTGAAATCCGTATGTTATTCTAGTAAGACCCATAATTTTTGATAAAAACCCATCAGTGACAATTATACAACTCGAACTTTGTTTAAGGCAATAAATCTCATTGGGTCATTTTGTTTTCATTGATCTGACCAAAATGAGATGTCCGTTTGCCTGAGGGGGCCACTGTAATGGTTGGCAACTTCCCATTGATTACTAAGTGGTTATGGGGCTCTATTAATGAAAGTAAGACGTTTATCAAGCCAAGAATCGTGTGTACACTAGTCCGGTAGACGAATTATATGTTTTCATAATATAGTCGGTCAGAAGGTGACGATATCCTTATGTCTTGAGTGCCAGTCTAAGTATGTTCTCATTAAATATTTGGAAACATCGACGAACTTACCTCACTCAAGAAAATAAGGGAGGTATTCGTCTGTTTAATAAAAGGTGAGCATATTGCACGCCAGTTTTCTTTGTTCCACTTTTTGGTCTTGTAAAGCGATCTTTAAAGCCGTGAAATTTTTGTTGGTCATTACTATTTGATCATAACTATCTTTAAGGCATTGGCTGCGTATTGTAAAATAACCAAGCAGGTGATACCAAGGTTAGTTGTATTGTATGATGTAAAAAGTTTTATTAAACATTAATGTTTATATTTTCGTATTCAAACTTTTCCTCTAATTTTAGGCTAAAACGAAAACAGGTGGCATATTTTTCCTGTATAAGCGGTAAGTGTCGAGTGTCACTTACTAATATATTTTTTCCAGATCGAAAGTTCCGTTTTTCGCTTTCATGATTCTGAACCGTAAGAGTCCGACATTGAATCAAATCGAGTTAGTAACTGCAAGTTTACAGCTTCAGCTACACTGCCCTTTTCTTTTATATAAGACTTCGAAAGGTAAATAATAAATGTCCTTATAACAATAATACAGGGGATATATTCTCAATTTGGTTCTTCTCCGGTTCCGATTGTGAACGCATCGCGGAAAAACTTGGCAAGTAGGTATCCACATTTTTTTGAATTAGTTCCCCTACTTCCGTACCTCAAGAAATTCTATCTCTCATTTTCTTTAGGATTTTATTATCAGTAGAAGTGTTTTTAGTTCTTGACAGTTTATAGAATTTGAGCTTCATCAGTCTAGATCTCATATAACATATAACGTATTGGGTACTGAGATCAGGAACCTTATGCTTTCCCCTGGATCAGGAATGAACAGTTCGTTTACTGTTTTAGCCTGGTCATTTACTATTTCTTCAGACCAGATGCCCTTGTACGGCCAAGAGTGGGGAAGGCCCTCTGTTATAATTGTATTTTTGACACTAAACAAGACCCCAAAATCAGAACACTTTGAACAGGAATGAAATTGTATTCAAAATAATAATGATAAGTGAACAGCAATCACTAGTTTAAATAACGTTCATATATTTATAGTATATACATAAGAAGCTTCTAGATTTTTCTCCAATAATGTGCCCGGGCTGATCGGTTTAGAATTAGCCAATCAACACGCAGCAACACCATCATGCATTAAACATGCATACATGCATACATGAAACATCCAATCTATATCCCACTAACACCCTCCCTCTGGAAATTCTCTCACACGGCCACGCGTATACAGTCTCTGCCTTCTCGTGGTGGGGGTGTTATTTAAGAAATTGAGAGGACGAAAAGCAAGTGTCCAGAGCTTTGACCGGGTTGATGGACACAGAAAGTCCACCTAGGGAGTTGGAAAACCCTGATTCCAAACCAATGGTGCACATGGTCTCCAGTATCCTGAGGGAACAAATGGAGTATAAGCCAATCGTTGGTTACTGACTACCGTGGGACTGCATCTCCTTACAATGCTCCACTACCTTGTGGATCAGACCTTTAGGTGAAAGGCTCCGGGTGTGACCCCCTAAGAAAACCACTTGCTTCAGTTTGGGCACCTGGGCAGTATCACAGCCCTCACACAAATCTCATTTGATTTGTGTGGCGCATATGTATCTGGTGCCCGTTTGTATCAATATTTGTGTGCTTAAATAAATACATAAATATGGGATTTGAATCGACAATTGCATCTCTGTGCTAATGTGGTATGGCAACTCGAACTGATATACTTACGTACGAAGTTCTACGTTTTGACTGACTGAAGCAGGTGGGCCAACAACAATAGTCCTCACATCACTGTGAGTTTTCACGGTAACTCAGTAATATTGATAATATGCCTGTTCCGACTCACATACTTCAAATTAATCACTAAACTTATTGTCACACCTTTGGGCGCTGGATAGACTGAATCATTCGGTTATTTTACTTCCTTTATTTCGAAGCTGTCCCCTTAAATTCATAAATAGACGGAAAGTTCGTGGTACAGTGAGACCTACTATAGCCTTGGCAGAAGAAAAAACCTGTCTACATTACCTTACAATTTAAGGGTGATTCAAATAGCCTTTTATTGAAACAAAGACTTAAATCAGTCATTAACAAGACATATTAGGCAGCAAAGGTCATTATCAAGGAAAGAACAAGGTCCATGCTTCATCGAAAACCTAAAAGACATGAAAATGATTGCGTCACGTCCCACTATGTTTACTAATTTCAATGTGTGTGTGGCCACACATACATGAGGAGGAGTAGTCATGATCTCAAAATTAGGGTGTGTGAACATGTACCTAAATGGTTGCAGAAACAAGTGAAATCAAATGACCCAATAAGAGTAGAGGGTGAACATCCATCATCCTCTGTTGCCAAACACATAATTGAAACAGGTCATAATATGGATTTAACTCGGCTTTTGTTGTGTTGCAGAAAGTGTAAAAGAGCGTATTCTATTGTTTGTTGAAGCCTTAGCCACACGAAAATTCATACTCCCTTTGTGCATTCATAAACGGTCTGTTCTCACTTTATACGTACCCTGGTAATATTAGCTTATTATCCAGAATGATGAGGTGTCAAATTGTTTTCATATTATTTCTTTGTTATCCTTGTCTCCTCTTACCCTCCAATTCTATTCTAATTGAAAAATGTTCTTAACAAGCATATGTGTGATCAGATTGCTCGAAATGTATTGCGCTAATATATCACATAGTTCTGATAATCTTTCTCTTCTTATTACACTATCGAAGGATATCACATTAGTATAAGTAAGGCCTTATGATTACTAATCGCTCTGTTGTTTACTAAACATTTAGCAGAACATTGAATTCTCAGCGTATGTACTTATAGTATTCACACCGTAACGGGGTAATCTCAAATTTAGTCATTGATCGACACTCCAGATCATTTAGGTTGGTTAAACTGGATTATTGATGTTCTACTTCTTATCCTCATCCAGTGAGTTTTGTTTTTAACATGATTTCATTTACTTTTTATCCAAGTAGAATCCACATGAACCACAGTTAGCGCATAGTTGGAATGTGTTCACAAATAAACTGGACTTCTAATCATCCTCGTCTCATAATCTTGAGCTAGGTTATAGTTGACTGAATTACTTTTCGATCACAATACTTTAAAATCCACGCATACAAAGTTTCTTTCTGCATGTTTACATGAAATTTGTCAAGAATGTTTATCTTATTCCCTCTGTATTTCATTTGATAGACTTGTTCACGACGCTGGTGGCTTTGGACTAAAGATAGCTCCTACAAACCAATCCACAAATTCCAAATCTAAATCTTCCAATTCTGTAATGAATTCTATGGTGGTTGCTCCTAAATCTCCAGAAACAGTTACTAAAGGATTAAATCAGTTAATGGATTTCGTTCGTGCGTCCAATGAAAATTCCAAGTCAAACTCTTCAAACCCATCCAAAGTTAATGACAATGTATCTAATCATTTCGAAGGACCAAACATATTTGACATGTTACACAAGGCAGAAGCTGATTTTAATTCAGGAGTTAGTATTGTGATTTTCGTTTACTATTTTGTTTAGTATTCTTAACTCATGCTACTAAGATATGAACGTTTTCTGTGTATCAGGGCTTGAAACACCAGATGGCTACTGAGGCTCCAACATATGTTGAGGGTTTCGAACTCATAAACGTTTTTCGAGAGGCATGTTCGTAGATCAGTGAACAGCAATAGTTTTCTTGAAAACAAATGAATGTTACTTAGTGGTCAAGTAGAAGTTGCACTTAATTTAAGAGCAAAGATACCATTTAGTTACTTAAATCAAAGTAGACAAAATAAGGTCCGAAAGCCGGGTATTATAACCACTAAGCTAGAGTTCTATTGCACGCTACGTTAAATCCAGAATTCCTTTCATATAGAATGTGTATAATCAACATAGTTTAACTGTTTCTCTATTCAAACAAAAAATATTGATTATCAGTTAATAACTTAAGCCTTTCGTGTTTGATTGTTTCTTCCAGAGTAATCGAAGTGTATCACAATCAGGTAAGATAAAATCTATTTGAATTAACGTTTTCCATTTAAAAAAGAAATAAAACCTCTTTTCTGTCTCATTCATTAGTTTTATTGTTGGTGTATATATAGTTAGTGATGACTTCTTGACTTGTTTCTTTTTGTTGACTTGTTTAGACATAACCGTCAAAAATGAACTACAACGTTTTCGTACAGCTTGCAATCTCCCAGTTTCAAATGGAAATAATTCATTCGGCAATCATTCTGGACCAGTTGCTAGTGGGGTTTCGTAAGTAGCGTGTTTATCTATATGTGTTGTACACTATTCTCGCAATGATTAATTGTTTAGTGACTTTCTCTTATCAGTACTCAACGTGCTTGTAAAATGTTTTACTATATCAAAACATACGTGTTAACTATCAACGCTGTCCATGTTGTGTAATTTCTAAGAGTATACATGTAAATTTTTCTGCAGGTATTGAATCCATTAGTAGTGAATATGAAACCGTAGCCTAATGGCTACACTAATCAGCTCTCAACCAATAGTTCACCAGTCAGAATTTCACCTTATACACTTTGGTTTGAGCAGCCAGGTAGTATTACTAGTGTAACTCAAAGCTCAGAGTGCATGAACCTATACTCTGTAGATAGGTTACACTAGTTTTTTTCCGATGTCACTTTTGGAAGATCTTAAATAAGCATCTATTTTTTTATTGCCAAACATTTGCTTTGATGAAAACACTAATTAAACCCCCTTAGTTTTGGATAACAGGCTCAATTCATGTATCACAACATGGTCTCAATTTGAAGTGACAAACTTAAGTAAACTAAACTAAATAAGTAGTTGATAATGGTCATGTAAATTGGATGCGAAAGTTCATTCATGACATTTTGAAACCTTCAAAGCTGCATTTCCAGAAAATAAAGTTTTCGTTACAAGCCGTCACATGTAACATATGGTACAAAATTTGCGGTTTTCATCATAAATACAAGATTCAAATGACTGTTCTCCAATGTTAAAGATTAATTTTAAAGTTTACGAACAAATTTATGTCTTTGTTTTTAATTCTAAAACATTGCAAAGTCTGTAATACTGTTTCCACTAGATACTTGAATCCATATTACAAAAATGTGTCTATTAGTCTACTTTTCAGAATTAATCATCACCTCTCATTCATACACTAGTTCGTTTAAGAGAGATGGGTATGTGTAGTAGGAAGGTCTGAGTGAACTTATATACTAGCCTATTGTATCAGTCTAAGTTAACCTACTCATTTGTGTCGTTAATTAATGTCCATCCAGGTTTCCAGAAAACAACATAATTAATATGGTTCATTAAAGTTAGCACAGTGTTAATAGATCATTATCAAACAAGTGAGATTATTTGCAAATTATATTCATATATTTTGGAGCATTATTATCCTTGTTCATTATTGGGATGTTTAGTCAGTCAAAACAAATGTGTAATGAGTGACTGGTTTTAGATATTGTATCAAGCACATTTGAAAGCAATCAAAAAATTATGAATAGGGGTGAACTCATTAGAATGAACTATTAGAACAGTACTGAATCTTCAAAACATGGATTTTATTAAAATATGAATTATAGTTTCTAGCAACATTTATATGATTCATTACATTAGTTTTATTGTACTGATCATAATTCTAGTAAACAGTAGATATACTTATCTTCATGTATAAGGAACCCCATTGGTAAAAAGTATTACACATATTTAAATAGTTGCTTTAGTGAAGGTTGTAATCACCTCGTTTACTTGTTTTCAAATTTTTATTCCTACGTGTTTTAAAAGTAGTAGGAAGAATAAACTGAGTTCTGGGTCATCTCAGATTGTCAATCATATTTCTGTTGCTGAACTTGAAGAACAATTACTTCAGGAGCATATATCTGTAAGTTTAAGATATTTCTTGCCAATAATGAAATAGTGGTTGAAATCCTATCTCGTTAGGATTTCAGTCGAAAAATTGGCTTCAGCTGATTGATATAAGATAACAGCTGATTGTATTTCGTGTGATGTGTAGGTAGGTTCAGGTTCACTTAAACACTAAGCTTAGATATTAATCTTGTATGATTTCTTACCAGCTAGACAGCACCCTGAAAGAATTTGTCCTGTTCTCTAAGTTTATATCCATGTCGCTTAGTACTGTAAAGCTACTTTTATTGGCGGGTGTATGGATGGAGTAGTTTTGCTAATCACTCAAAATTTGTCACTTTTGTAGTAGCTCACGGTATGAGGATGAAGTCACCAGTCCCTGAAATTACCATTTAGCATAATTATCAGTTAAGTATGCTTTTAATTATTCATTGTAGGTATTTGATTTCCACCTTATTTCCTAGTAATGTTGCTACTGGTGCATTATCTGCCGATGATCGAAGTTTTCATTTAAACTGACCTATTTGACATTGTTCGGTTACAGAGTAGTTGAAAGAAATGTGATTGTTTATTCACCTTAACGATAACCATTCCGTTAATCACATTTTAATTTATAACTATTTGTCCGAATCAGTGTACTGAAATTATGAATTGAAAAATAGGTGTTATTTAACGACTTTAATGAACATGTTTGTATTTGATTTTTAGTCTATTTCTTGGATAAATAATGCTTGGATATACTCGTCCAGTAGATAGATTGAGCTGGACATCCCATAATCCACATATTACAAGACTGCTGCCCGAAAATTGTATTACGTTATAACTTGCATATAGATACACTTTTTTTTACATACCTAACAAATGTATATTCTTCCCAAATTTGTGTTTTTTCGTATTCAATAGAATAACAAGTGATTGAAGTGGACTAAATTATTCGTTATCACATACTTTGTAATACTATTGTTATTTCAACTTTTCATACTCAAAAAGGAAAATGCTAATAACAGTAATTATTTATCCCTGCTTCTTTCATTAGCTTCCTGAAAAAGTTGATGGGCTAAAATCACATTCAAAGGTATCCGGTGAATTAAAAACAGTTGTCGCCACAGACGATAGTTCTCCAGATGACCAGGTTTTATCACATGTGTCAGCCATGGAGTCTCCTGCCTGCTACCTTCAAGGACATAAAGATACTCGTGTTGATCGAAATCGCCGCCTTCTTAGTGATGATGCTGGCTATGTGGATGATGTTGATGATGAGGAGGCATGTGAAAACCGTAGTGGTCGTGGTTTACCCAAAAGTTATGGAGTTGGCCAACGTAAACAGCGACGGCATATCCGTCAACAACACGACAGTCTTTCTGATGAAATACATTCACCATCAAATCTGTCAGTTAACCGAAACAAACCCTCAAATATCACTCCCAAATGTAAAACGATCATAGGAGAGGACACACTTGTTACACCTGACATGTTGACCGGCGTCCCATCATCGATCTTCCCCGGAATAATGTCCGGATTTAATTATGATAGACATACCGTATCAAGTCCTTTTTCAGAAAATAAAGCTCCCATCTCGTCAACAGAAAAATCAGCCACGAGTGAATATCTTACGAAAGATCAGTTAAGAGAAACACTAATTCATTTGTTACAGGTAAGTGTCATTGAATTTTTCATATTAAATAATTAAGAAATACCCAGATTTCCTTCAAGTATAAGTCGTTCGAATATTGAAAAAAAATTGTTAAATTTTATTGAGATTACTAACCAATCTAAGTTTGACGACCATTAAAAGTCTGGAAGTACTAAACAGTTGTTCCGTTCTAGTATAGTACTTCGCTGGAATGCCCATCTGTGACCCGTCAACCGGAGATCAAGCCCAGGACTTTCACTTTCACTTGCTGAAATACAACCTCTAGACCACTGGGTGATTATCCAACGGTAGGTTGGTTGAGGTTAGACTGATACATCATAGAATCCCAACTTGGCGGTTTAGAGGCTAAACGTTCGCACGTGAGACCAAAGTCTTGGGTTCGACCCTTGTCTTTGGGGTCCGTTATGCAATTTTGTGAAGTCCCATACAGTGACGAAACAAGAGTACAGTGCTTCTAGGTCTCTGATTGTCTTACTTAAATTGGTTTGTGGCCTTAATAAATTCGTTTGAACTAGTTTACAATGAAATTTTTTGTGTGCTACAATTAAAACAGTTATCTCATTTTCCCACATCAGTTATTATTTTTAATGCTCTCATTAGTGCACTAGTTGTTAGACTTTTCTGGTTCAAGTTTAGTGTTACAAATACTATCCTTAGTATTTCATCTATTCGGTTAGATTCGATTGATTTCACTTATGTCAGGTAACAGAAGGCTCATTTCACCAACAAGCTCTTCAGTTTTGTAAAGAATGTTGCTCCCCATTTCATCGTCATCTAAGAATATTTGTGATCTCACTGGATCAAAAAAGACCAGCTAATTTGCCTGGATTGTCCTTACTAAATGTAGGAACTAGTTCACTGTAAGGCTTGGTCGTTCTAAAACACTCATGAAAAATTTTCTTATATTGGTTCTAGACTTTCTTTTCGTGTCTTGTTACCACTTTTCACTTTACTACCTCTTGAAAGTCCCTTATTTCAATAGTAAACCATATATTCATTATAGATATGATATCTCAGGCTTAGCTCATTGTATCCACTAAAGTTTAAGATATTCAAAAATGTTTCTCTGTGTTTGCCTTGCTACTAACAATCAACTTTTCTTATTGCTGTTTTCCTTTCCAGACAGATGATGATTTCGTACATCGTATACATACTGGTTATGTTAATGTATTGGAAAAACGATTGCCCAAAAAGTAGGAAGTGCAATTTTCCTTATCTGTACTTATTCTTATCTTTAGTTTCAGTTGTATCAATAAAGAAAAAAATATACATGGATTGATTAACTAATCAGCCAACTGTATTTATTGTGTCAAAATTAGATTATGTTAATTTTATTTGATCAATTTACACACTTACTTTTGCATAAAAAAAGAAAGAAGGAAACGAATGAGATATGATCTGTTCAATGTTGTCGTTGTTTCTGTTTTGATTGTTTTTATTTCAGTATGAATTCGGATATTTGGTTTTTTGTTAGTGACATTTATCATCCATCGACGGTTGTAATTTCTAAGCATTTATTATTCCATGCGTTTATTTTATGTAAGAAATAAGCTCATATACATGAATATACATATTGTGTAAATCTTACTTTTCATGTGAGAATACGTCATATATGAGATGTTTTTCTATTGTTATCAATAATTAAATAGTTGGTTTTCTTTTTTTTTAAGGATTTCTACAGATAGTATATTTTATCTACCAATTTCCGATATGTTGTAATGTATATTTATTGGTTTGGTTATTTAAACTGCTCATTCTTCATCTACAATATTGTTTTTAAGAAAAATATCCGAATAAAATTGAAGTCAGAAGACCCACTCAAATATACAGTTGATCTTTGCTTATTTAATCGTATTGTTTGCGAGAGGTAGCCATGGAATTGTTAGTTCTATCTGATAAAGTTTATTCGGACTTCCATATATAGTTCCTCACTTCTTTTGTCTGAAGACAGATCTCATTTAACATATTTCTCTCCGTGTACATAATGTTTAATTTCGTCCAATTGTTTCCTGCTAATGATAAACAGGAGCACGTTGTCCTAGTGTTGTTTTCTCACCGTTCATGGTTATAGCAGCGCATAATTCATCAATGGAGAACGTAGTCAAAACTAATAATATTTTAGTTATAAATCTTCCATTCCTTTGGCGATTTTGAAATTTCGGGTTTAAAAATTAATAATCTTCCCTAACCCTATTTCTAGTTCAAAGTAATAAAAATAATTGTATTCTCTAACTCTACGTAAGTTGTTTCTGTGAATAAGTTTGAAGTTGGTAAGGAAGTTTTCATACACTCCATTTTAAGACCCGCAGCAAATCTTATTTGGAAGTTAGTCACTTGTCTCAAATAGAAATTGGAATTTTTACCTGTTATGGTAAAACATGTCAAAGCATCTACATGAACTACGAAGAGGTTTCTTCTCCAGTTACCTCTACTGGTCAAAGCTTCGACAAAATATTGAATGCTTTCGCGTTATTAAATACGCAGAATTTAGTCGATAGGTTATGAATAGTCACTTGAGTTAAGTGAAATTCGCGTCGTTTTAGATATCAATCAAAAGATTTTTTGTGTTATCTCAATTCCATGTCCATTACAGTGTGTGTATAAGAAATAAACGACATTTCGTACTTCGGTACTGAAATACTCAGAGTTTTGCCGATTAGCTGAAAATGAAAGCATTTGTAGTAGCTTTGAATTAAGACAAGAATACATGTAATATAAAGCGTTGTTCGATAGAGCCACCAGCACATTTTGACTTGACAAGATAGCTTTACGCAACACTAAATACTGCCAATAGTTTTCCTGGAGTTCACACGTTCGATACTATCCACTTAATTCATTCGTCAAGGTTATTCTTATCTTCAGTAAAGCTAGGCTGTTTTAATATTGGTCAGAAATTTGTTAATCCGTAAAATATCAGAAAAGGAATTATTACATTGCTGAGATCGTCAGATATCTACCTTTATATGATAAAGTGAACGCCGTGGTTCAATTTCGCTCTGTACTTACATAATTTTTCTAATGATTTTCGTGTCCTACTTTGTATACTCCAATTGTTCTTTTACTATCGATATTATTTTGTAACTCATTTTCCACTTCCTCGAAAGTAGGACTTAAATCTGGACATACTTAAGTCGTGTCCAATACCACATCGATACCGTGACTTATTACCAAAGCTTACTAATTTTAATTGGTATTTAATACCAATTAATCAATCTGGGTGTTTTTGCTTTAAGAACAGTGATACGATTAAAACCCATGTCAAGTAAATCATTTATATTCTCTGAATTTTAGAAGAAATTAAATCTGAAAAGTATTACATACTTTCCTAAGTAGATTCTGTTTATAAATAGTCCATCAGAGCCAAGTCCAAATATAAACTACCAGCAACCATCCTTCATGTAATAGTCTGAATGAGAAACGTTCTACGGATAATTTTATTAAAATATTGACTTACTAACTTTGATAATATATCGGGATGTTCTGCCTCCAAAGAAATGAGTCTGAGATATCTTTGTAAGCTCGACACCTCAGATTCTGCTGATCCGCCTTTATTCAGACCCAAAAGCCGATTACCTAGATTTAGGATATGGATTATTTTGCACAAACAGCGGATTCAGCAAGAAGTTTCAACCAAAAGAAACAGTACACAATTCGGAACAAGCACGTATTCAAAAACTATTCTGATCAACAGGCAAATAAAAAGTGTTCATTTTTCAAGAGTTCTGTTAAATTGTCAAATAAATAAATGTACAATAAGGTTGCTACCCGTTATCTCAAGTTTCTAAGCAATTCTATACCTCATCTATAGTAGTCAACATAAAACTAATTAATTACATAATATTTTAACATGACAAGAAAACTTCAAGTGATAGTCTGGATTTTGTATTCGGCCGGAGCTTAGTATATGTTTAATACAGCTAATTTTTAAAACTGCAATATTTGCTGAATTCATATAATGACAAAATTCAATCATAAACAACTTGAGAAGATTAATTATGGATGAGTATTGCTCAAGAAAAAGGAAATATCAAGTCGCGTTTGAAGCTAAACTATCATATCTGATGTCTCAGCACAACATACGTAATTATCGACGAGATTTACGCTACTGGAGTATTAAAACATACTCATCATGTGACTATAATTAATGTAGAGGAAAGTAGAGGATTTCGTCAGAACATTAGCAGGATTTCTTTATTTGATAAACATCATTTGTCAAAAGTGAATAAAACGCCGTAAATTTTAATGGATAATTGACTACATTTGTTAAATTCTCGCTTAGTTTTACATCTGAATAATAAATACTTCAATTATTAGTGTAAAAAAGGCGACCTAATTTGTTGCAGTCGGATTTATTTAATTCACACTTCAACCATCAATAAGATCCGTGAAAGATAGTACATACACAGTTTGTGTAGATCTTCAAGAAAATATAATACCAACTTCGTTCTGTTTCAATAGATTGAAGAAGCTAGGACTAGAATGTTGTTGAGATTATCTAATGGCCATCCATGAGATATCTACATAATAATATAATTCTATGTTTAATACCATCTGAATGTTCAGTCTTCTAAATAGTATGAAGCTGTTAGTTTGAATCTAGACAATAGTGTATTCAAAGTATTTCGTATCGAAGACAGATGACTAATTATTGATTATCAGTGTTTGAGACATGTGGGTCATAAAGTCAACCTGAAGTTTATTTAAACATTGATAATAGATAACTATATTAGGAGGGAAATATTTCAAACTGTGTTGTTCGTGTAAACATTCTTTATAGATGAACAGATAAACTTAAAAATGTCTTGATCGGCGAGAATCCTATCGTAAACGATTAAGCTATGATTACTGATTATAACTATTGTAGTGAACAGAACACTAGTTGGGGACAATCGAATGTATTTAAGCAAACATTACAGACTATCTCGGTAAATTCTGATAACCAAACAATGAACAGTCAATTTGCAAATTAATAACCAATTGTTTCAATCTTCACTGTTTCTTCTCTAATTCCATTGCTCATGCATTTTCCAAACGATTGCGCTTCATTTCAGTTCTTTCCTCATCGGTCTTCTGCCAAAATACATTCTATGTCTGACCCACGCCATATACTACTTATATGGATATAAGTAGACAACACCACACTATTACCAAAAGGTACTGTAAAGTGAGCATGAATAATTACAGATATACTTATGTAGATATTTCGATGTATTTTTAAACAACTTGTAAACTGGTAATCCATTGGTATATCTTTTCGTTTGATTCAGTCGACAAAATCATATAGTCTTAAAAGCTCATCCTATTTAGGCCGGTGAGTTTGTATACACTGCTGAAACAGAATTTCAACTGTGAGGCATCGATAAAGGTCTTGCAAAAACATCTTCCCCATTCTTGAGCGTATACATAGTGGATAGTTATGTGTGCTGGTGGAGGCGTGTTACATGGGATCAATCTTATTATGATGAAAGCTAGAGAGGTTTAGCCATGTCATCGGTACCATAATGATGTTAGTCTGCTATAAAAGGTTGGGTCTACATTACATGAGCTTTAGTTTATAATTGTGAAACCTAGAATCTTCGAGTTAATAATGTTAGAAGATTATCTGTATTTGATTATCATTATTTCCAAAAGATTATTACTGAACTTCCATCAAATTAATATGACGGGATCAAAAGGCAAAATCAAATTTTTAATTCATTGTAATTTTTCTTGAACATTACTGCCGTTTTTAATTCAATATGATAATTATTCATTGTAATATTCATTTTATTTTCAGTATGCATAAAATTGATTTGCTTCATTATGATGTTTGTTCAAGATATGATATTCTTTGTATTACATTAATGTGAACTAGGTTTAGAATGAAACACAACATGTGATTTTATTATGGAGAAGGACATTTTGTGATCAATAATTAAATAGTTTTACTAAGCGAATATATCAATGACTGTATTTCCAATTAAGACCTTCATGTTTTGTATTAAATAGATCTTCAATTGTACCAGTTTTCTGTATTCTTACTTCGCGTCGTGGGAATAACAGCGGTTCTTCGTATATGACATAAACACCATGTTGGTATTGATTATGTTATCCAACGTGTGTTCGAGTGCTCACTACTTGATGTTACCTTCTTGAATCTTCAGCTTCATTTGCTTCGACATGTGCTACAAATATCCTGTAAGTGGCTTCCTAATTATGAGCTATTTCTCGACGATGGGATTGGCTGTAATCATGTGAGAGGTGGTCAGTATACGAAATAGTGTCAGAGTACATAACTGTATAGAATTGGCTTCTGTCGATCCATAATGACTCTTTAGTTGAGGTTCAAGAGATGGTGTAAATTAATGAATTATTACTTTATTGAATGTTGTTCATAACCTGGGCATAAAGTATATTCTAATACACTGCTGTGATAAAATCACACAACTACTTTATTACAGTTGTTATTGAAATGAGTTTAAAATAAAAATACCAAATATGTCTAACATTTCTGTAGTAAATCATCTGTCTACTGATCAATTTGTAAGTAGCTAAAGCTTGCTGATTGAATTTAGAAAGTTATATTGTAAGTGAATGAACAAAATGTTATGCCTAATACACTGAAAAACGACAGAATTTTTCGAAGTCAAAAAATATCGAGTGAAATCATGTAGGTTGGAGTTGTATAATATATGTTAGTAATAGAAAAACCAAGGTTAGAATACGGACTAATCCGTGACAGTTTTCACTACAATATAAAATAATAACAAAACTCCATCTAAACAGAAACTCAACAATATCCACAACCCTATACTGACTAGCTTGGAGAGATAATTCTTGGGGTTCTATTGAGAAGTCGTAAATAGTGGAGTTTAACCATGAGTGAGTTACCTAGTGAAGACAATGGAGGATGGTCGTGCGATATCGTGGAGTGGTTGAAGTTGGACATTACACCGTTGGATCCATTCGTGGTTTAATACTATACATATATTTTTATTGTATAATTGTTAAGTAACTAAATTATGCGAATTCATGTTTCTCTTATTATAAGATTAATTTTGAACTATAGACTATCATTATACGATTTACCATTATTACGTTATTTCCAGTGTATTAATTACAGTCTCCCCTATTCACAGCCACTTTTGACTAAATATTGTACAAATGTTATTTTCTATTTGATGTTGTGATGTGGTCTGTTTCGTTCGTATATGCACCCAGTATTTTTGAATTACATGATTCATATCGTGGAGGCTGAGATTTGTGTTTTGGACTCAACGTGCAGGGCTAGGTAGGGAGAAGGATCGATAAGGACTGTAGGCTGCTCGTACGAGTTTATGCGTCGTTGATCCGGTCGATAAGTCACTGTTCTCTAATTGGCGTTATCATTACGTTATATAATAATAGGGCACAAGGCCACAAGTTATAACAATAAACAGTATACAAAATCTGTATTTTGTCACTGATTACAATTGAGGATTTTCATCCATGCTTATGATCAGTACATAAATACTTTCGGCATTTAATATCTAAATTTATATTATATTCAAAGTATATATACGAATGTACAGCTTAAGTAAATGATTTCGGTGAAAAGAAAATTTCCTTCTCTGAATTCTCTTTTTCTTATTCAAAGTATTTTTTGTTTAGTATAAAAATAAAACTGAAATAAAGACGTACATTTTGAAAGTGCAAAATGAAGTCATTTTATTTTCTACTATCAGTTATAGATAAATATCACCTTTCAGCATTTAGAAGATTGTTATAGTTGTTTTTCCTTTATTTCATGTATTTAATCTATAAATATCTTACCTTTGAGCGACGCTAGACTGACTTGAGAGTGTCCATCTAATAACTAGAACCAAATGCGACTTATGAACCAGGGTAAGGAATTAGAATTATGATTTGCAGTTGATGGTTAAGGTTAAGAATTAAATTTAGGGTTTTTATAACAAACTGACATCAGCTATAATGACAAAATTCTATTTATCCAAATGGATGAGTGAATTTCGCACCAAAATTCGAAACCTGTTATCTTATACCAGATTGGTTCGTTCATAAA